TCTTTCTGTAGGCCAATGCCATGTGTCCCTCTAAGAGTCTGTTTACATGGACAACTGTGCCATGCAAGTAACTCTCAGCAGTCAGCCAGACCAGAGGTGGCGTCACAGGGCTCCTCCAGCCACAGCCTCAACTGAATCTGTGTTATTGTTACTAGTAGCATTACCATGCTTAAGCACGACAACATAATTTGTAACAATAAGAGCAAATTAGCAAAGGGCGAAGTGTGTATAACATGTACTTAAACCTTTGGGGCTCTAAGCAGCACCCAAAACACATGTGAGCACACAGTCTCTCTACAGTTTGTCTCCTAAACATGAGCAGGCTCAGATTTCAGCCTTTGTGGTCTCCTAAATATATATCGAAAAACACATCAGGCTGCATGTCAGTTCTGTTTACAGGAAAGTGATTTATGGGTCTTTTGGAAGTAGAGAAGGAACACTGGTATGGTGTGAATAACTTTCAGAAAAAGACAGAGCAGGGGTCACGCTACTGTGACTATTCAATAATCAACAGAACATTAATTAATGAGATTTAATTTGAATACACTAAAGGAAGGGAGCTTCAGCTAAATTATCACATAAAATAACGTATATGTTTTACAGAATTAGCAGCAACATTTAGGATTTTAGTTGTATGCTTGGGCTTTGTATGTGGGACCTCTGCATAGTCCTTGTGCAAATAAATGTCAGCCATAACTGCATGGTAGTAGAGTAAACATAGTTTGCGTGTTGTCAAATAAAGCAGCTATACATTCCTCCACGCTGTCTTCATATGACAGACGCTTTGTGTCAGACTTCATAGGGTGTAACTAGTCCAACTGGTGTTGTAGGGCTCACATTGTTTAGGTGTGTGCATCTGTGCGTGTGTGCATTAGAACGCTAACTGCAGCCTTCCACGTACAATACCATGTGCAGGCAGCCAACCTTCTCACGTCTGTAGTAGTGTGTTCCCAAAACACTGACGTCTTAGAAAAATATTCTGAGATGGAGGCATGGTGGTGCACTGTCACCAGCATGAGGTAGATAAAAAAAAGAGAAAATCTTGCTGCAACTTAACAGATTTACAAGCATGCCTTTTTTTCGAGTTTCCAGAAACAACAACAAAAATCAGCCATGTAGTGGCCATTAAACCTGGTATTTTATTTTTTTTTAACAAGAAAACAAAAAGGTTAGCATTAAAGAAATTAATAAAAAATGATGTACAGTCAAAAATTGAATTGGTTAAAATAAAAATAAAAAATGGCTAGTAGACCCACATGGCCTGATACCTTCAAATACAATCCATTCCAATCACCATGTAATAGTCACTTACTGTACGATATTGTCTGTGCAATTTCTCAATCATCCAGCACATGGCGACAGCAGAATAGGCTGAAAACAATTTTGTGCCATCTGCCAGAACCAAAAGAGACTCCTGGATAGGTGTCACAACGTTTTCAGAAAAACTGAGCAGAATTCTGGATGCCTCCATTTAAGCCTGTGTTGTGATCACCTGCAATATCAGTGAATTCAGTGAGTCTACCTGTATGTATTTTATTTTTAGAATAACCCTTAACTGGTTTGTGAAGACCTCTGAGGTTTGCAAAGAAACATCAGTGGATATACAGCATTATGAACACCAAGAAACACAACAAACAGGTCAGGGAGAAGATCACTGAGAAATTTACCTTATAATAGGCTGAAGTTATAAAACTATATTCCAAGTTCTGAGCATCTCACGGATGACCATTAAATGTATTATTTAAAAATGGTATGAGCATGACACAACAGTAAAACATTGGTTGAGTGTAAATCTGGTGAAAACAGTGTTTTGATCTAGTCTTCAAGAAAAACTGGCAATGACAGAGGCACTGGGATAAGAAATGCAATTAAAAGTTGGCAATGTAGGGGCAAAACAAATATTAAGAATGTATGCTCAAGAGAAACAAAATCTATTCGAAAAAGTAAAAAAAAATCCACTGGACTTTGTTTCCTAGTCCAGGTTTTGACATTTTGCTTCCCATCCAGAAAGCTTTCAATTCCAAATATCCTGACATTTTGAATTGAAAAAACTTCCTGGATGGAAAGCAAAATGTCTTCAAACTTGGAAACAAAGTCCAGTGGATTTTTTTTTTTTTTTTTTTTTTTTGGAATGACTATGACCTGGATGACTGAGAATCTTCACCAGCATATGACACAAAAGCTAAATCCATGGTCTACAAGAAAAGTCAACCATATATTGCCAAAAAAAATGAAGGATGGTCTCTACGACAAGAAAGGTTGGAGGCAGCAAATTACCTTAAACTGGGGATTGCTTTCTACCTTCCATCAAGGCAATGATACAAAAGTATGCATCCAGAACTGCAGTGGAGCTTAGATCAATATTCATACCAGAGTTGGTAAATTTCTCCACTGTGAGATCAATAAAGTCAATCAATCAATCAATAGTCTAGGTGGAGATCTAGTTAAATAGTTGTGGTAAGATTGAAAATGTTCAAAGATGCTTTCCGTCTGATCTGACTTGGTTTAAACTATTTCACAAAGAAGAAAACATAAAGCAATATAGTAGTGCACCAATTTGAAAAACTGGTGAAGATATAAAAATAAATACTTTCTGCGGTCTGTTTGTTTTACTTTTTAAGTATGAACCTTGGAGATCTAAAAAAAATGCACTGACGATGTTTCATAGTTCGATTTAAGAACAAAGAATTTAAAAAACTGTTAAAAATGTATGATTTCCATCTCATTTCATAATCCACTATTTTGTGTTTTTTCTGTCACATAAAGTCCCTGCAAACTTAACTTTTAGCAGAGCTGGAAATAGTGTCATTGTTTTCTGTGGTTTTCACAACGATAAACCAAACTGCTGAAGCCAAAACATCCGTTGCGTGTTTCTTTTCTTCCTTTTCTTATACTTTTGCAAGCTGTAATCAATAAGAGGAGAATTTCGTTTGATCTTTTACAAAAGTAAAAGATCAAAGTTGTATATGTAGATGATCTATTGATCATTTGACGTGGAAAGTAACACACACACAACCCATGAGAAAAGCAGCCCAGGAAAACGTCTGTGATCACTGTAAAAAAAAAAAAACTGAGGAGACCAATCAACTTTGGTTATTTTTGAAAACCTGACTAAAGCTGACACCAGGGAAGCACAAACTTAGCCTGGTAGGATATTCTTCTATCCTGTGGAGCCCAAAATGAAGAAATCGATGCTGCTCTTTCAGATTCATTCATTGCTGGATGTGAAACCTAGAAAGCTACATAAATCATATTCATCTCTTTCTGAGGGACTTTTCTGTGTATTTTTGATTAAACAAACACTGTGAGTCAGTATGTTTCTAGGTAACAGTGATGTCATTGCTGCCATGGGACAAATTTGCATCCATCCATTCTGCTTGGACTGCAGCAAGTTTGATTCCGATAATGAGCTGGACTGGGGTCAAACGGCGAGCAGTACATTATATAAGCCACATGTGCATCCCTGCAGTTACAACCACATGAAACAAAAGGCGTGGGGGGGTTAGAGGAGGAACAGGAACACGAATCCTGTCCAGACACAAGCAGATTCAAACATCCAGAGGAAGGTGGCCCGGTTCAAACACCAAAAACGACCCCCCAAACTTTCCACATAGATGGATGACCCACAGACGCTCAGTGGCATCACACACAAAATAAGACTATACACTGTGCAACGAAAAATAAACCACTCTTATTCCATCTAAGCTTATTGGGTTAGGATTAATGATGCTCATTGCTGTGTATGCATGGAATTTAAACAAAGGAATAGAACTGAAGAGGGGAAAAAGTTCAGTCATGATGCAGTGTGTGTTTTGGCTGAGCAAGAATCTTTTAACATGGAAGGTATAAAGTTGGGACTGTTGTGTTTATTTGTTTCTGCCAAGCCAGTTAGAGAAGCGAACAGAAGTAAGGTGAAACCCGATCAACTGGCACCATGTCGGGCCCATAGCGCTACGGAGCAGCTGGGTTATAGTTGAAAAAACTGACAGACATCCAAAAACATAATGACCCAGGTTACCAAAATATCACAAATAATGGCATGTAAAGTTTAAATATATATTGAGATGTATATTTTTATTCAAACATATATACATTAGCCCGAATATCATCCATAGTGAGTTTGAATGCAGATCCTCAATGAGGGGAGATTAAGTAATTCTAACCAATTGATCCCCTCCTGTTTTGTCCTTCTACACACCCCTAAAACCCTCACCAAAACACATGCATACACACATTTACTCTGGACCAGCAGGGAAATCCCTCTGTGGCCAGACGGTTCTTTTTAACTTGATATGCTTGTGAATCACCCCTAGTGCTGCTATGCTGCTTCACAAATGAACATAGGGCCCACAGCAAGCGCAGCCCATGCCCCGCTATGCTCTCCGATCACACTGGAAAACAGGATCCAGCTGCCTGGGCACCCTGTCATTACAGACAGACCCATACCATCAGTTGACATGACCACAGCTCATACTCAGCCATCAAACCTCCTGCTGGGAACTCAAATCCAGACGTAACCCCATAACCTGCCTCCATTTTCCATCCTATACCAGCTGTAGCAATGTTCACCTCACACCAAAGCAGAGTTCTGAGAATTAATCAATAATAGTTCCCTCAAGTAGTGGACAGATGGGATATGAGATAAGTTAGCTTATATATATATATATATATATATATATATATATATATATATATATATATATATATATATATATATATATATATATATATTTAATTTATACATATAATGTGTTATATTATATATTCTTTATTCTTTTAGTATTGTTTGTTCTATGTTCTTACCTTTCCGGTCTGACCCCATAGATTTGCCAATGGAGGGTGAGTGATTTCAAATTTACTTAGCTTTGTGTACTCACAGTGAATTACTGTATCACTATATACATGACGAAAATAGCCGATATCTTTAGTCTTTTTCCACAACACTGGAGAAAAGAGTAGACACAAAACAAACTTTCAGATGTCTATTTATTTTACTTTCTTGTAAGTGTTTTTATTGCCGAAACACCAGTGACACATGCAGAATTTAACTTTTGGCCAGTGGGAGTCGCAATTGAAACAAGTGAATAGTACCGGTAGACCTGGATAGTAGCCATTTATATTTTCTTCTGAGGTGGCAGTGGTGTCAGATGCAGGAGTTTTCCCTTCAGCGGCGGAGTTGTCGGTTCAAGGCCCGGCTTTCAGTGTTGTGTTGTCTTTGGGCAAGACACTTTACCCAAATTACCTACAGATGGTGGCCAGAGGAGGCGCCTGCCTCGTTCTGTCAGTGAGCCCTTGGCAGCTGTGGCTACAATGTAGCTCGCCACCATCAGTGTGCGAGCAAATGACCAAATGTAGTGTAAAGCGCTTTGTTCAAGCTTCTAAATTTGAAAAACCTCTTTGCAAATAGAGGCCATTTCTCATTTATTACCCGAGTAGCTTTTTTAATTTGAATTTAATTTAATTTACCTTTAAGAGTACAGTAGTTTTAGAGCACTGTATTTTTTTACTTTTACTTGAGCAGTATTATTATATGAGATTAATAGCCTTGAGTAAATTTTCATGCTGCTCTATCAACTGAGTTACTTTACTGAATGAAGAAGAACCTCCTTTTAAACCAAAAATGCACAAAAAACAGAAATAAGTTTTTGTTAAAAGTGATATTCTAGTTTTGACGAAAGCTTTGGGGTTCGGTTCTTTCTTTTTATTTGAGGAAATTGCTTTATATTAAGAAATTGCTTTCGAGAAGTACTTCTTTGTATTTGTTGGGGTGGGAGTGCAGTTATGTCATATATATTTGTTTCTTGAATTTGAATAGAACGTTATGACACTTTTCTGCCTGATGATATATTTTTTAAATTGAGTCAAATCAATCAGTCTTTATACCTGGTATTTTTGTTTTGTTTTACTTGAGTAATTCCTTCGATGGCTACTTATTACTTTTACTTGAGTAAATATATCAAAATTGTGTAACCTCTGGCCAATAGCAATCTCTAGGAGAGAAACAGAACAAACAATGACCAAAGTCAGATCCTTCAGCACATAAGACCTGTAATCTAGCTGACTGTGGCCTAGTTACCGTAAAGTGGCATTTGTGAGAAACTAGTTTAAAGAGCATAAAAATGAAGCCCATGTGGACTTTGTGAGGAAACCACCAAACACTGAAGCCTGACAGGTAAAATAATGTTTTATTCTATGACAAGAAAAATGTTTAATCTGGATAGCCTTTTATTATAACTGGTATGAAAGGGGGATCCAACAATTTTTTTCATTTTTTTTCCCACTGCTATGACAAAAGCTTCAGTTCAGGTTCTATCTGCACAGCGATTTGTCAGACTGTGGTTAGCTATGTGGATATGTAGCATGGAGCATCTGTTTAGACTGAATTTCTTACTTTTTTTTCTTACTTTGAGGAACAACACTTCAAAATATCCATACATATTTAATATACCTTTTCTATCAATAAACATGGATTAAAAAAAACATGGATTGATTTGATCATGAAAATATGTTCTGCTTCTAACATATAGGGCCTGACTCTCACACATAACACATCTCATGACGGTTTGCAAACTTAACTGCAGTCGTAAAGGTGCCAAACATATAATTAAAATCTAGGACTGTTTTGTCTTTGTTTAGATATGATGAATTATGAGGAAGGGAGTGGACTCAAAGTACTGGCAAACTCTGATCTGATAAACTGAACATGGTTTGTTTCTTGGCAAAAGGTTGGCTCTTATGCACGTACAAGTGGTACCTTTAGCAATTGTGCTCGTCCAGATGCAGACAAAGGCAAAACTTACTTGCACAAAGCTGATACCAGCATCAGGGTAGAGTGAAGCCATGTATAATATGCTGAGTGAAAAGAAAACACAGCACATTGGCATCAGGGCTTCCCACTTTCTGAGAAACTGTGACATGAAAACAAAGCAGTAGAAAGCAGGAGCTAAGGGAAGAAATGAGGATAAAGACTGTCTGACCTGTAAAACACAGAATCCACCACACTGAGTTTTCTACGTATCTGTCACTGAGTTATTGTTGTTTTCTCTCAGCTTTTTCTGAGAAGTATTTATACAGTATAGCTCAAATGAAAGCACCAAGAATGACGGTGTTGTTTCAAAGGTAAACAATGTTTGGATGTGTTTCTTCCTTCTTATCATGCTAATCAGAGTTCTGAGTATAGACCCCCGGGCAGCCAACACTTGTTGGATGCAGGTCAGTTTGGCTCTTTCTCTTCATTTCCATCCAAAGTGTTTGTAATTGTTAAATGAACCAAATGGAGATTTGTCTACAGATATCCCCACAGTTCAACTTATTAATATGTCAAGTGTAAACACCTCCATGTCCTGCCTTTTTGACAATGAGCCTATGTGTGTCTGGCTTATTGGATTTTAAAGACCCGCCACTAGCTGTGTTGTAGACACAATAAAGGAATCATCAAACAGACATTGCAGAAGTGGAGCTGCCCCTCCTCCGTCTTCAAAAGCCATTCTACCCATATCAGGTGTTTACAAAAACTGATGTTTAATTAAGTAACTGTGTTTCTGCCTTTCCCCTAACTGTTACCGACATATTGCTAACCTTAAACGGCTCCATAATTAGTTGTAAAAGTAGACTCTAGTAGAGAAATACACACATATATTTTCCATGTAAATACAGTACTGCACTCAAACCTTAGTATCAACAAATGTAAATAATATACACTATTATTACTCACATTAAAAATGGGGGCCCGAACTTAAGGGTCAGACTTTGGTTTCAATAAGGTTTGTCTACACAGGTACAATAAACAAGTGCTTACACACCCTGAAACAGAAATCCGCTATATGGCTTCAAAATCTCACAAATCATGTTAACAAATGTCCCTTTTTGCTATTAGGACTACAAAGAAAGGAGAGCTTTTATTGTGGCTAGAAAGACCCAAGGTGATCCAAGAACATGTGAAAAATATTTGCAGCCATAAAGAAAGGCCAATTGGTATTAATGATGCGGTGGGCAGTAGAGGCCACAGGAAGTGTGCGTTTGTGTGTGTGTGTGAGTGTAAGTTTGAAGTGTGTTTGGTCTGGGTCAGTCAGACACACTTGTTTCCCACTAGGATGGATCTGACCAAGGCCACAGGGCAGGGAGCCCACAGATTCATCAGACTCGTCATCTCCGGGGTGTCCGATATCCCAGGGTGCAGCTGCCAGGCCAGCAGTGGCAACTTTGATGCACTCCAGGTGGGCAAGCAGTCAGCTTCAGATTCTACAAGTTAAAAGGAGAAGGAGAATGGTAAAAATACCCATTAATAACATATATGATCTAAATGTTTGTATGCTTATGGTAAACTTGAAAATGCAATGAAGAAAGTTGTTGAAATTACTCAATGTGTTTACATTAATTCTTTGCAAAAATAAGCATACTGAGCAGTTGTTGAGTTAGGCTTTACTTAAAGAAATGAATTGTGACTTGAACTTTCCCATTAATGAACTGGAGTTGAACCCATTACTTGATTTAATCCAAAATATATAATTTTTGGGGAAAAATTTTTATTTAAAAAGTGAGCATCCTTAATTCATTTAACTTTTTCTGTGTTGTCAAATACAGACCGTCACTCTGTCTCTCTACACTCTACACATATGTGTGTGAGCTCTAGCATGGCACGTCAAATTAACCAGTTTGAAAAATCGTACAAAAATGTTCCTAAGACTGATGCCTTTTGATACATTGTATTAAATTACTCAAAACGATATGAAATGCGACATGCAAAATATGTGAGAAGACAATCACAGCCAGAGTTGGGACTGATTTCAACTTTGTATGACATTTTAAATTGCATAAATAAAAGTACTGTAGGTGAAAGCATTCTTTTGCTATGAAAAAACTGATCTTGGCTCCCTTTTCAGTAAATGTAGAACTGAACTGGTTTAATCCCATGCAAAGATGAATACGGATTTAAAAAAGAAGATATGGTAAATTATTTGAATTAAGCATATAATTCAACTTTGTTGACTTGAAAAGACTTGAAATTTTAATTTTAACAGTAAGGACGTGACTTCAGACTTTTCCTTACTTCATACTTAATTCCAACTTAATCATCTTTACTTGAGACTTGGTTCAGGACTTGAGGATAAAAACTTAAAACTTGCATATATGAAAACATTTTGCTTTAAATGTAATAAGCTAAAACTGAGGCTCATCTGGCCAAATGTTAGCGCTGTACCTTCACAGATTTACTGATTATTCCTAATACAGAGACGTGACATCCCTCTGCCAAGTGTGAGCTACAAATTGCACGGTATCTTCAACGAGTCTTAGCTATTTAATTATGCAAAGCAAAAAAATAACTTGTTTGTTTTATTTTATTGAATTTAAACTAAATTAATTGCTTACAAAAAAAACTGTATTAAAATAAATATAATCCTGCAGTCTAAAGAAATTAATTCAAACACATATGAAACATAATATGAAGTATCAACTTTACCTGGCCAATACTGCTAAAGCATTGGTATTGCATTCAGATTAACATTAGCATAGTAGCTAGTTACTTTTTCTCAGGTACAATTAAGGAACCTTTGCAAAATTTTTACTTTTAGGAACAGTTTTGCTGCCACATATGCTTTGCTTTTAGTTGAGTAATATATTTATCAAATATTGGTTCTTTCACTTGATGAAAATTTGTGGGGGAAATGTATTGTTATTATAGACTACAAGTATTTATGTTATAAGGTTTATGTTGAAAAATATTTGGAATAGTTCTCTTTTTCTGTGTTTCGTCTAGTTTTGCATTACTGAACACATACGTATTTCATAAGTATACAGGTGGGAATATTACAAGACAAGGGATTGATAGTATTTATAATTCAGCTAAGGAAAGTCCAACAATCCAATTCCACCCATGAAATTGGAAGAATAGAAAGATAAACAATTATTTAATACGCACAAGGAAACATGGATGAATCTTACTGTATTTGTGTTTCCTTCAAAAACCCTTGATGTTTTTAAGTGTCGTCAATAGACAAAGCTCTGGTTCTATGAGAATTTAAATGCTGAAAATATTGGTTAAGTTGGAACAAAAATCAAAAGAGACATATGGTTGTTCTGTTTGATTTATGTATTTTTTGTCATTTGCATTTATTATTTTTAATGGGTTTTATTTTTCTGACATAAAAATATATTATATTACTACTACTCGGGAGTGGCAACCATGTATGCAATGAATTGTGTTCCATTATTGTTGCCAGAAAATGAATAGAAATGAAAATAAATGCAATCCAGAGAAGAAGTACTAAAAATATTCTTAATTTAATGTTTTAGTTTTTCAGATTATATTTGTATTGGTCAGAAGTGAATGTTAGGGTTGGGCTTGAAGTGAAGACAATATCATCTGTAATAGAAGAGTGTATTTCGAAAAGAATGTAATTCATAAAACAGTATATATGAAAGAGAGAATTTAGAAAAAGTCTATGAAACTATGAAATTCAGTTATATTTTTTGGTAAAACGTTATTAATTAAAAATAAAGCAGTTTTTTTTTATTATTAATTGAAAGTAATCATTGTATCATGACTTTTTGTAACCAATAAAAATATGTCGTTTTTCTGAAATATATATATCAGAATTTGGTTTTAAGAAGTCTTACAAACATCCATGTTTGCTCCAAGTTTTTCATTTTAAATACATTTTCATATTTCATTAGGTTTTACAGTTTTTTTTTATCTTTACTTTATTTTTATAAAAGCTTAGAGGAAAACATACCTGCTGCTTGTTAGTATGTGGGTAGCAATCTTTCTGAGATTCTTATCATAGATGTGAAAAATAACCCCTTGCAGTGGTTGCTCATAATACATATTTGTCTCTTTAAGAACCAGATGCCTCGTTAAATCCGGAAACATGTGACAAGTTTGATTTAGGGCTGTTTGTAATGAAATAGCAGAAGTTCTTCTTAGCAATCCATCAACACAACCTGAAAGCAGATATTTTTCTAACCTGTTGTGCGTTGTGCAGGTATGAAGTTTAACCTATAAATAAACCACTGCACACACCTTCAAGGCAGCTTACACACTGAAAAGCTTTTCTTTTTTTACTTAATTCTTAAAAAAGATAACTAACATTGGGGTGTCTTTTATACAGATTGATAAAGTATTTACAAAAATAGGAAAAATGCTCAAAAGGTGAAAATAAGGGAACACCTACTAATTTTTATTATATTGTTATAATATGTTGAACGTGCAAACATCTCTTAGCATTGTGCATAGCTAAAAATTGAATGTTATTGTCTTTGGGTAAAAAAAGAACTCAAAAAAGTAAAGCAATTAAAATAACATCATAGATCCAAATAATGGAAAATCCAGTTTAAAAAAAAATCTGTATTCATGAGATAGGGGAATATGTTGAGGACCATATTATATGGCAAAGATCTATATGAGTTATAATAACTATCTTACAGGTCTCTCAGGTTTGGATTTAGAGTCATACACAAATAAAATGGAAAGTCACATTAGAGCGTGATCCTACAGTATATCACTGGAAATCATGTAACACAAGTCAACATGAGGTTTAGTAGAGTAGGTGGCCTCCATGTGCCTGTAGGACCTCCATACAATGCCTGAGTATGCTGCTGGTGGAGGATGTTCTCCAAAGCATCAGTCAACTCAATGTGTTGTACAATGTGTCGTCGGTGGAAGGAACGAGACATCATGTCCTAGTCTATAGCTTTGAAGGCTTTCATAATGCAGGAACTGTTGATTCCCTTTAGCCACATGTGGAGTAGTGTTCTCACAGAGAGGAAGCAAACCAGGGCCAGCTGCAGCAACATATGGTTTCACCAACGAGTTTGAGGAGCTCATCCTAGTACTGGATTGAGGTCAGGGTACATCTGGCTAGTACGCGGAGGGCTCTGTAGTCTTTAATGACCAGGTCTGTCACAAGGGCTTAGTCTCAACCTGCGCTCATCCTTCATAGAGGTTGTCTTTCCCTCCGCCTCTCATTTCCACATGTGTCTTTCCCTTTTGTACCAGTGTAGGTTAAATGGATTCACTATCAGTGTTTCTTGCTAACTGGACAGGTTAATTTCACAGAACTAGGACGGAGTTGGAGTTCCATTGTGTTGTTAAGGTGTTCTTTGTTTTTTGAGCAGTTTATATTTTTATTCGCTTTTATGTAATGGTATTTGTAGAAGTACCTTTCTTCCGTTAAGTTGTTAAAATAGAAAGTCTCTGGTGCTTCCTGTGATGCATCAACTGAAGTGTTTAAGTGAGTCTCTCCTTTACTTGGTCAAATATGGATACTGCTCACACTGAGCCATTGATTTTACTTGAAATTTTGGGTGGGTTTTTTTAGCAAAAATTCCCACTAAAATACTTGATTCAACCTCACCTTTCATCCAAACGCCCTTTTAAGAGCCGTTAATGAAAGCCCATCATTCCTGTGAACACCTCCGCCAGGGCCAATCATCATCTAGGACTGCAGAAGCGGCAGCCCTACTCAATCCAATCTCCACAATCAACCTCGGCTCTATTCCTTTTTTGGCCTCCATTTCATCACCAATACCAAGCCCCAGGAGGGAAACCTATTGTAATTCATCTACTCAATGATAACATCATAATTCTCAATTCTTACATCTTTCATTGGGAGCTTAGCATCAAAGGCAGTTGATTGTTAGCTCATACTTTGTTGCTGGATTAACTTGACCATATTTTTATTAGATAGGGCCAATAGTCTATGGCCAATTCTCCTTATATGTTCTATATATGTTCAATTCATTTTGATTCAGTTTATCTATATAGGGCCAATTCACAGCACATGTCATCTCAAGGCTCTTTACAATTCAACTAGATAATACAGTAAAATTGATTTAAAGTTTTCTGTCTAAGCAAACTAAGCATGCTTGTAGCGACAGTAGAGTGGAAACATTCCCTTTTAACAGGACTCCTCCTGTACAGAGAAATTAGCCGCATGCACTGCTCAGGTGTGATTTTGGCCCATTCTTCCACACAAACATTCTTCAAATCTTGAAGGTTTTGTGGGTCTCTTCCATAAACTCTGATCTTTAGTTCTTTCCGTAGGTTCTCTATTGGATACAAGTAAGGTGACTGGCTGGGCCAATCTAGCAGCTTTATTTTGATTCTCTGAATCAAAGTGAGTTTCCTTAGAATAGAATAGAATAGAATAGAATAGAATAGAATAGAATAGAATAGAATAGAATAGAATAGAATAGAATAGAATAGAATAGAATAGAATAGAAAATCCCTTTATTGTCCCTAC